AAAAACAAAATTTAAAAAAAAAAAAAATATATATATATATATATATATATATATATATATATATATACATTAAAATTGTATTTGTAATAATATTTTATGTAATAAAAAAAAGTAATAAAGATATTTTAATATATGTGTGGATAGATAGATAGATAGATAGATTTCTGCTAGTTTTTAATAAAACAAAATAATTTTTCATACTGTATTACAATTATGATAAAAACAAGGAAGGGGCAAAATAATCTTAATCACACTAATAACAGGCCAACACGTGAAATACAACTCCGCATTTTATTGCAGCCTCATTTAAGAAGATTCTGCATCCATGTGATGAGTCCTTGTCTGGTGTTCTGAGATGTTCTTGCTGTCTCCATCTGCTCCTTTTGCTTCTTTTCTTTTTCTCTTTCCTGCCTGAGCAGCTGATCAGTTTTCAGTATTTTCTCCAGCTCTCTCTTCAGGCTGTAATGCACCATCTGCCTGCTCATAAGAGGCACAATCAGGTTGAAATTGTCCACTTTCTTGTTGAGTTTCTCCAGTTCATCAGCAAACGCAGTGCAGTGCTCCTTCCACTGGAGAGTTTCTGAGTGTCTCATGGGTTCTCCCAGCCTTGCCCTGACCTCCTGCAATCTCATCCTCATTTTAGCAATGGTTTCCCTGATCTCCTTCTGAGCCACGATCCATTCAGGCTGGTAACCGTTGTCAATAAGGATTCTGTTGAGGTTGTGCGTCATGGGGTCCATATACGGGTTGTGATCAAACTTGTTGAGCGGTTTGCCAGTGCCACTGAGGTTTTGGAAGTCTCCACGGGCCATCGACTCCTGGATGAGGTCCTCAACCAGTCTCTCCACTGCCTGAGTGATTTTGATCTGCTTGCTGCGCAAACGTGCATCTCGGGTCACCATGGCTCCTTCGTCTGCTGCCGCCTTCTCCATCTCTTTCCGTCGATACTCCAGAACCTGGTCGGTGGCGCGTCTACACGAAACTGTCGGTACTGTCGTTCTCTTTGGCTTGGAGTGCCAGAACCAATGCCTTCAAAACTGAGGTAATGTCTGTGTTGAGGGGCATTACTTTTAATTTTATCTTCCTCTTCTTCCTCCATCGATTGTGTATACTGTGAGGCTGCCTTCTGTCGGGTGAGGTGGGCTAGAACAGCCCGATAGGCCTCCTCTATCTGGGAAAATAGAGCAGCGTCTGCTGTGGGAGCGCCGGAATCTGGATGGTAGAGCTTGGCCATGTGTAGGTAAGCCTCCTTGACCTCTGCAGCATCGCTGGCTCCATCATCAGGCAACTGCAGTATACGGTAACTCTCTCTCAAGCTGCGGCTGATAGCTCCAGAACTGAGAGCTCGCAGGCTGAGGGAACAGGACAGAGGCAGGAGAGATCTGCGGAGGTCCCCGCTGTGCAACCGTAACAACATCCAGCAGCTCATTGTGCCTGTATGAAAGCGGCACCTAAATATATGGAAATTACGAAATAATGCTAAACTGAGTTGAACAGCTGCTTTTGAGTATATAAATTGAGTGATTCTTGTGCATGAACTTAACTGCTTTAAAAATAAATTTCAAACACTAGTAAATGTCCTATACACCTTTAATTTTTTTTTTTAACTTGTCAAACTTTGTTATGAAACCTGTAATACTTTAAAAGTATTAAAGTGCTAATTTTACTAGGTAATACTTTTGAGATGGATAGATAAACATTTTTTTTATTTATTTTTAAGCTCCAGGTTTGCTGTGCTGTACTGTAGTGCTGCACAATTTGGTAAAATACATACATACTTTTTCACTGTAAAATAAAAAATATAGTGATTAAGAAAATAACTTTATTCTACAGTACAACTGTAAAAATTACAACAATATTATATAAAAATTAACACTGAAGTTACCTTTGTACCTTATTTACCCCTAAAGGTGCCTATACATATCTGAATGGTAGATATTTGTCACAGTGACAGCTTTTGTACCTTTTTTCTGAGAATCTATGCCGTTTTCAAAAGTGAAACCATCGAGCTTTTATTTTGGCGGAGAAACTGCCAATCAAATTAGGGCTTGTTTTGTTACATTTCATGTAGGTTTAGGACTTGCTAGATTTTTGCTAAGTCAGATCTTACAAAGCTTTGTCAACAATGTTATAATGCTATAATGTTTCTAGATTATATTTAGTGATAGGGCCACCATACACCAGTGTTATTGTCAAGTTTGTTGTAGCATAAAAGCTAATGTTCCAAAACTAGCCTATATCAAATATGAACACTTACGATAATGCAACCTAAATGCAACACGAACAACATATAGCAAGGGCATACAGAGTGAGTTAGGTCTGCATGTCTTTGTGTTTTGAATGACACCGTTTTGAACGTGCACGGGTTTGTAGTTATATATTAAAGTCGAACAGAATGCGGGGAAATGTAGTCATTGGGTTTTCAGGGCAAAGCGCGGTATAGAATCTGTCCTTTAGGTGGCGACAAATCTCAACAGCCACATTGCAGGAACATTCATAACTAGGCTTCTTTCTCCTTAAAATACCATTTGAAAATGCACTATTTTATCCACTGTGCAGGACATATTTGCTGCTATCCTCTTTGCACAGTCTGGTGAAAGTCTGGCTGTTCTGTGAGACTTGCTACGAAGGAGATAAGCAAACTATTCAGGTTGGTTTTATTTTTTATATATAGCCTATATATAAATATAGTTTCAGAGTTCATAGTTTTCTCCACCTAATTGCATGAATAAGTTATATTTATGATTTTAATGAACTGGTATTGCAATTAATTAGCTATACCCAAAAGACATTAGTTCACTTTCTCTCCATCACTGACTACATGGTTAATGAGTGTTAATGGGTGGCCTGCAAGTCTTTTTCCCATATTGTGTTCACATGACCTTTCTTAAATTGGGCTGTTTTAGAAGCCAACCAATTTATGCACATGTAAATTGTGATGAATTAATTTATGACATTTTGAGAGGTCTTTTGTTTTTCCATTTTTGCGGTAATGGCAGTCCATGGATGAACTCTTGAATGAATAGATTTTTTAAAAACGTCTTATTTCCATAATTAATTGTTTATTTCCAGGCTTTTGTCTTTGTTTAATCGTTTAAAATCCAGGTTTCAAATTGATCTCAGATTTTTTAACTCAAATGTAGGTCCCCAATTTTGGACCTCTTGGTTATAATTATATATCATCTCATATATAAAATGGCCTCTATATGATGTTGTTTCTGAAACCAGCTTATATTAATTAGATATATTCAGATTTATATAAATACACAATGTAGAAAGAAGTTAGTGGGATCCATCTGCATGATTGTATATTCCACTATCTACATTGCTAGATTAAAATGAAACAGATGTTTACATTCAAATTTCTCTATGAGTGTGATCTGTCATGTGAGTAAGCAATTGGTGAACTAATTTGCCCAGAGGACCATGACAGCTTTTTAGCATCTCAGAAATCAATATTGTGAGATCAATGGGTCTCTGCTGAAGTGCTTTTCCCTCACACAATCTGTGTCACACGTACACAGGGACACAAAAGGGCCACAAAGACCTCACATCAAGCTTTGCAGCTGGAAAGAAGACTTAAAAATAGCATTCAAAGAGAGCACTTCTAAGAATAGACTGCAAAATGACCAACTTCACAGATGAAGATCTGGACAACTATTTACAAAATCAGGTGACCTATTTATGCTGTCATGGGTACTGAGATTTAAACCGAACTAAAGTATTAACTTAAATATTTTATTGAATTTTATTTTATTCAGATAGCTCAAAGAAAAGGATGACTGCTTTGGTTTGTTTATAAGTTGCTAATAAGTTGTTAATAATCTTTTAATGGTGTGGCCGAATGTGTTATTGTTAGGTGGATCTCAGGCACCGTCAGGTTTCAAAGTCCGTAGAAGATGTGCAAAAAATCATAAAAGATCTTACAGCTGAGGTCAGCTCAAAGGATGCTCGTTTCCAGTCCATTGCAAACTCTGGAGTTCATAATGCCAGCCTCAAAGTAATAATTCATGTAGGCCTCTTGTCTATTATACAATGAATAACTGCATTTTAATTATGGCTACTTTTGTAACATCATAATTCCTCTGGTGTCCACGATCCGATTTAGGACCAGCCAGCTTTAGTGTCAAAATGGTCTGCATTACTCCGAGGAAGATGCGCGTACAACCCTGCCATCCAAGTAAGCAACAGAACTGTCAGCTGTATCGCTTACAAAGCAAACATATTTTTCAATGTACTGCAATATATATGCATGGACTATGTATGGCTATACTGTATAAGGATGCATATAAAAAATACATAGCAATGAAGACAAAAGTTGCACTGCATTTTTACATGTAATAGTTTATTGGAACACTAATTTATTTATTTATTTCTCTTTCATGAGTTATCATGTGAATTTACATAAAGCCGAACTTCAATCAATTTACTTCATTGTTTGCATAATAAAAATTTCATATATGAAATTTCATCTTGTTGGCAATTCATGACATATAATTTATTTATTATATAAATGTGTATATACCGTATATATATATATATATATATATATATATAAGTCCAATCAGTATATTCAAACACAGCTGGACTCAAATGAAGGTGTAGAACCATCTCAAGGATGATCAGAAGAAATGGACAGCCCCTGAGTTAAATATATGAGTGTCACAGCAAAGGGTCTGAATACTTAGGACCATGTGATATTTCAGTTTTTCTTTTTTAATAAATCTGCAAAAATGTCAACAATTCTGTGTTTTTCTGTCAATATGGGGTGCTGTGTGTACATTAATGAGGGAAAAAAATTAACTTAAATGATTTTAGCAAATGGCTGCAATATAACAAAGAGTGAAAAATTTAAGGGGGTCTGAATACTTTCCGTACCCACTGTATATATATATGGTAAATTGTACAGCTATATTTTTTCCTTTGCTCTGTGTATATACTGATAGATTTCACGTTCATTTCGGCAGGTGCTCACTCCAACTCTGTTCCTGATTTCGGTGCCCCTACAGGGTCTGATGGGCTATAAGGAGAGGCGTACGCGTCAGTGGCGTTACTACACACTGAGCGGGTCTCGTCTCCTCTCACCGGTCCGTGAGCCAGAGAAGCTCCACCAGTGGCTGGAGCTGGAGAGTTTTGTCAATCCGAGTCAGGAGTGGCATGATGCCCACGTGATCATTGAGGGTGATATTGTGCCAGCAAAGGTGGTGAATGTCTTCAGAGAGCATCTGGAGGCATCCATAAAGACCTGCGGACTAACAAGTTAGAGATTTTATAGAGTCCACTTGTTTACTCAAACAGAATGAGAGAAAAGCGATTTCTAAATTAGATTTCTATCTGTTTTCGATTTCATTTTTTACACATTGTCTGGTGAATAATCAAAAATCTCTAACAATCATAATCTACTGATATGCAACTCTTCTGGGATAACTGATTGATTGATGATTGATTTCTTTCTTTCTTTTTTTCTTTCTTTCTGTAACTGTAATGGAATTTGCATGAAAAACACAGTAGTCAAGGGCATTTACAATATTTGCTTATGTAAAATGAATGAGAAATATTTAATGTATTTTAATGTAATATATTCAAATTATTTAATAATTATGTAATTAAGCTAATTATCGATGTTGGCCACATTAACTGCATTACTTATTTAAAGTGTTCTCTCAGATTTTTATAATATATAATTGCTATGAGAATAATTTGTATGAAAACTTTGTATTACATTAGAAAAATGTAAATGGTCTCAGATGGATCCCATTGTAAGTACACTAGTCAACATTTGAAGTGGATCAAAACCTTTCATCAATGTTGTCCTAAAACCAAAATGCGTTCTTGTCTTAGGCCAACTTTGATGAACGTTTTTGATCCACTTCAAATGTTGACTGCTATATTTAGATTCCAGTCAGTAAAAGCTTGTTTGCAGCTATTAGGATATACTATGAAAACAGATGAGTTGTACCAAATGCGTGATTTTTTTTGCCAAACCAGTTCAGCGAAAACTCCGCCCCACAGCTGATTCTAAACATTTCATTGGTCATGTCAATCACAGTGACAAATGAGGCGGACAGTAACTAAGTACATTTACTTGAGTATTGTACTTAAGTACACAGTTGCAAATGTGATATTTATTTATATCAATTCAATAATAAGAAGTTAATATTGTGGTATATATTAGACATGATATTGTCTGATTTTGCTAAATTGTGTAAGTGAAAATATTACCTATAAAGCCACAGAAGAACTGTTGTGTGTCTCCTAATAAAACACAATAGGTGTTGGACTTAAAGCAGCACTGCACAGACCGTTCTGTGTGTGACATAAAAGTACAGCGAGAGCGATTAGACAGCATTTTTAATTTTTTTGTTTTGATGTCAAATAAGCCTTGCTGTTTTGCTTTTTTGTTAAAGCAGTGCTGCTGTTGTAAAGTTATACAGCTGCAGTTGTGTTGCTGGGTTTTAAAGCAGGTTTGATTTTTTATTTTCTTCCTTATCAGTCTGTATTTACAGCAATTTCACTGTCCACTCTGTTCAAATGTGGATGAATGGCTACACATAGATGTGTGCACACACTGTCAGAGCTGTGTGAGATCACTACCATACTGCTTTTGTGGAGGTGTAGGGGTGTTAAATATATATTTTTAATTTTTTAACATTCTAAAAGCTCTTTATTCCAAAGATACTACAAGCTAGTCAGTGTATTAAGCAGGTGTAATGTATTCTAAGTTGTTTCAGAAGTATTGCAAGTATTACGTACAACAATAAAACAGTGCATTGACATTAAAAAGGAAATGTACTTTTGGTACTTAAGTACTTTTAAAAGCAAGTACTTCTGTACTTTTACTTAAGTAAAAATCTGTCTTTACAACTTTTACTTGTAATGGAGTAATATTTGACCAGCAGTATCTGTACTTTCACTCAAGTAATGGAGTTGAGTACTTTGTCCGCCTCTGCGAATGCCTGCACCAAACACAACCCCTAACCCTAACCTTAATCAATGAAATTAGCTGCTGGGCAGGATTTTCACTGAACTGGTTTGGGGGGAAAAATCACATGAAACTATAGGTTGTTCAAGCCCCTAAGTATCCCCAGTTCTAACCCTAAAAACCATTGACTGGTTGACAATGATGTTGATCCAGGAATAAATCCTACTTGGGTACATGCTGGACAAGCAAAAATGTGCACTATACGTAAAGTGGAACGGCATATATACACGCTACATTTCATTTGTTTTAACTTTCTTTTTGCCTTTCTTTGACAGGTAAGGTGAGTATGCTGGAATCAGTTGGGTCAGTGGTGCGTGTTGCTGTGGAAACATCAGAGGCACAAATTGAGGTGGAATTGGTTCCTACAGTGGAGCTAATGAACTACTGGCCAAAGAGAGCTAGGTGGCCTCGGCTTTTTCGAAGATGGCCCTCCACAGAGCGCGCTCGTTGTATTAAGGTCAGCCTTATATATACATATGAATTTGCACATATAATTTATATAATAATTTTTAAATATGTTTTTATTTTATTATTTTTTTTCAAAAATACAGAAAAACAGTAATATTGTGAAATTATATTTGAAAGAACTGCTGTCTGTTTATTTATTTATTTTTTTAATTTGTGTTTTTTCCTGTGATGGGAAAGCTGAATATACAGTAGCCATTACTCTATTCTTCAGTGTCACATGATCCTTCAGAAATCATTCTAATTTGCTGATATGGTGCTCAAGAAAGATTTCTTCTTATTATTATTATCAATGTAAAAAAGGTGAGCTGCTTAATATTTTTGTGGAAACCATGATACCATACCATTCAAAAGTTTGGTGTAACGTAAAATAAAATAAAACAAATAAATTATTTTATTCAGCAAGAACACATTAAAATGATCAAAAGCAACGATAAAGACATTTATAATGAAGCCAAAGATTTCTATTTCGAATAAATACATTACTATTTCAAAGCCGGCTCGCATTCCACAAGGTTGTAAATGTATCGGGTTACCATGAAACCAGGGTCTTGTTCGGCGTCCTGGGGTGTTACAAAGTATTTGTGAAATCTAGCTAACAAAATATATATTGTGTGTTGGAGTGTTCCAGACGCTACATACCTATTCTTTTGAAATGTCTAGTCATCAAATAAAACACGTTATTCACATAAATATTGAGCAGCAAAGAAATTTTCAATATTGATAATAATAAGAACCATTATTAATAATAATTGAGCACCAATAATAATTGATGACAACTGAGCTCCAGATAAGCATATTAGAATGATTTCTGAAGGATATGTGACACAGAAGACTGGAGTGACGGCTGCTGAAGATTCAGCTTTGCCATCACAGGAAAAATTACATTTTACAATACATTAAAATACAAAACAGCTATTTTAAATTGCAATCATATTTCACATTATTACAGGTTTTAGCTGTCATTTTCATTAAATAAAGGCATTAAATAATTATTAAAATTATTATATAAATGTTTTAATATGTGACCCTGGACCATAAAACCAGTCTTAAGGGTCAATAATTTTTTTAGTTAGTTTTTAAGTTTTAATTAGTATAGGACAATATTTGGCTGAGATACAACTATTTGAAAATCTGGAATCTGAGGGTGCAAAAAAATCGCCTTAAAAGTTGTCCAAATGAAGTCCTTAGCAATGCATATTACTTATCAACATTTTTTTTATATATTTACGGTAGGAAATTTACTAAATAACTTAATGAAACATGATCTTTACTTAATATCCTAATGATTTTTTGGCATAACAGTAAAATCGATGTTTGATCCATACAATGTATTGTTGGCTATTCCTACAAATATACCCGTGTGACTTAAGACTGGTTTTGTGGTTTAGGGTCACATAATATTATTATTATTATTATTATTATTATTATTATTATTAGCTATATTTCAATTATTAACTAGTTAACAGAAAATGGCCCGAGTACTGTTTACATAGAATACAATGATGATTAATCTAATAAATCCCCTGCAGTCGTTTGGATTCAATCTAATGTCAACATCACAATAACGGGTCACATAATATTATTATTATTATTATTATTATTATTATTATTAGCTATATTTCAATTATTAACTAGTTAACAGAAAATGGCCCGAGTACTGTTTACATAGAATACAATGATGATTAATCTAATAAATCCCCTGCAGTCGTTTGGATTCAATCTAATGGCCACATCAAACTACCACTGGCTGCTGTCATTCTCACGGGCAGAGCAGGTGCTGCTGAGCAATATAGATGAGGACGGCGGCTGCCGCAGGAAGTGTTATCGGGTGGTCAGACAGCTCAAGGAGGATGTCTGGTGTCCTGGAAGCAAACCTGTCATCACTGCCTACCACCTACAGGTACCAGCCAGCTCAAGCAAAACAGCCTTCCACTCCTTTCCTTTCCTGTCACTTATTTTCTTTTATTGTTTTTGAGACATCATACTGCTTATAAACAAATTCAGGTTTACAGTTTGCCACTGTCTTTACATCATCTAGACACTGCTTTTCTGGACATGTGAGAAGTACCCCTGCACCAGGGACTGGAGAGACTTCAGAGGATGTGTATTACGGCTGGTGCAAAAGCTACATAAGTGTGTTAGCCAGCATTATCTCCGGCATTACTTTGTACGATCCCACAACCTCCTGAAATACAGCAATACTAATGAGCTTGATGACGTGGCAAAGAAGATCAATAGTTTCCTGGACAACCCCGGAACATACGTTCATTAGAAGCTTCCTCTATGGGTTAGATGGCATAGATCTATGTTAGCTCTGCTCTGTTCTGACTGCATCATATTGATGAGATGATCATGGTAATAGGCTGTGGTTGGCTAAGTAAGTATGCGTGTATTTCCTTCTTATGTCTGTCTGATTCAAAAATTTTCACCAGAATTATGATGTAAAATTTTTTTTTTACAGTAGGCCAACTTTGTTGAATAATTGACATGAACAATGCTGACTTAATTAAATATTTTCTCATCAGAAATGCACCATTTTTGTTTTATATGATGTTTTTATTTTGTTTATTTTCAAATGATCAATGCCTTTTTGGAAAAGGATGGTCTTTTCAGATAAGATATACTTTACATACTGAACTCCCATACAGTACTACAGGAACCCTTAATTATATTCTATTCCAGCAGAGGGCACTGTGATTACAACAACACGTGTTACAAGAGGTCTAAATATCCATAGTAAACATGACTAGGTAATAGCACAGGTCAGTAATAAAGAACTATTATTTCTATTTTTAGCTAATGATATGTATTGTTAGGCTACAAAAAAGGAACAAGCTAGATTCACTGAGTAGTTGTAAGTGAATCCGAGGAGACATCCAGGGAGTAGTTTACCCAAAGGTGAATTTAGACATTATTTTCTCACCCTTATTTCATTCCAAACCCATACTGACTTTCATCCATTAAACAGAAAAGGAGTTATGTTCACACTGCTTTTTTGCTTTTTGTGAACAAAAATAGCATATAGTGCCCAGAAGTTCTGACACATTGTGACACTGCCAGTTTGAATATGTAGAAGTTTAAATGAGACACAATTTTACATTTTGGGTGAATTATTCCTTTAATGCTCATCGAAATGTTAACCATCAGCGTCACTGGATTCAGATTTATTAGTGTCTTGTACTCTTAGCTCAGCAGTCGAGAAACTATGATTTGCGAGCCACACTGGCTCTTTGACAGAAATCATGTGGTCTCTCACATTAACCAAGAAAAGATTGATGATTTTAAAGAGACACTTTACTAGAGTTCAGCTTTCTGCAGACTAAAAAACAGCCAATTAAAACCCCTTCGCTGTCACCTTTATTTATATAGCGCTTTTAACAATACAGATTGTGTCAAAGCAACTGTACAGCATTAATTAGGAAAATATTGTGTCAATAATGCAAAATGACAACAGTAAACACTCAATTTTCAGTTAAAGGCAGTTCGTCATTGAATTCAGTGATGTCATCATCCAGCTCAGTTCAGTTTAAATAGTATCTGTGCAATCAAGTCGACGATATCGCTGGAAATGAAGTGTACCCAACTAAGCAAGCTAGAGGCAACAGCAGCAAGGAACCAAAACTCCATCGGTGACAGAATGGAGAAAAAACCTTGGGAGAAACCAGGCTCAGTTCTCCTCTGACCAGACGAAACCAGCAGTTCAATTCCAGGCTGCAGCAATGTCACATTGTGCAGAGGACTCAACTGGTTCCTGTGGTCTTGTCCCAGTGGCCGTCTAGGAGACAAGGTCCTCACTGGGGATCTGTCTCTGGGGCTCATCTAGTTGTCCTTATCTCCGCTGACATTTAGGGCTGTAGAGGTCCTCTCTAGGTGCTGATCCACCATCTGGGCTACATTCTGTACAGCCTACAAAAGTTTAGAACAATAATATAATTTACCGTTGTGCGCTAGCCACGTGCGCAGTGCTGTTGGTGACAGCAATCAACTGCAAACCACTAAGCTTACAAAATGCTGGGTTGTTTCAACCCAATTTAGGGTCAAATATGGACTAACCCAGCTGTTGGGTTAAATTTTTTTATAAAATTTTTAACCCAAAAGTTGGGTTGAAACAACCCAGCATTTTTAGAGTGTATGGTAACCTAGAGCTCCTACGCTCAGATTCAAGCAGTTTGTTTGTGGTAATGATGAAAAGAAAGATTTTCAGAACAGAATAGAAAATGTAAAAATATAAAAAAAAGTGTCTGGACTGAAATATATCCTTTTGTTGAAACTGGTGCTCTGCTGTGCGAACATTTCGAAACATTTCACCTCGTACTTTCGCTTTTACCGCACAGACCTTTTATGTCCTATACCTGTGTTGTATTTAAGTGTGATAATCCGCACAGCTTTCAGTGGGTGGGGCAGTTTGAAAATATTAACAAAGAAACATGGATGAATGAAAAAAGTAAAGAGCGGAATGTGCTTGATATTAAAAAGTATGAATAAAAGTGCAATAAACTGTGAAAGAGAACTGAATCCGCTGCTGACAGGATGCTTTCTGTGCATCCACTCCGAGCAGAACATGGACAAGCATAGTAGCCTTTGTCTTTCTCGCGCCTAAACGGTCAAATCGCACAGCCAGTCTCAGTGACATCACACGTTCTAAAGATTTGCGCCTTAACTGAATTCTTTCTCGAGCTCAGTGCGTCTGTAACTGCAGGATGAAAAGATAAGTTCAATACCAAAGGTCGAGTAAAGTTTCTTCTTGAAGCTTCATTCAGCGAGTCTGTGCTTTGGACTTAGCGGGTTGGTTATGCTAAATGCAATTCCAGCGAAAGACTTGATGTGTCTGCTGCTTCAGTTGTGCTGCGAACGAAGCAGCATCTGGTTACTGGCACCCAGATTACTTGTGCACACCCTGGGATGAGGCGCTAGCGCACACTTGGTGTAAGGCTGGCTCTGAGGACCCCCAGGCAAACATGTGAAGCCGGCCTCCTTCACATAATAATCTGAGAAACAGACATTCACCAAAACAATAACAACTCGTATTATAACTGAAATAGACCAAGTTCTGTTTTAAAACAGATCACCAATACAAGATAGTTCAACTTAGAACAATTTAGATGTTCTACTACACAGAACTACACAGAAACCCATTTGCATTATGCCTACACACTGATGACATCAGCTTATTGCTGAAAAGGGATGTAAATGAGGTGCATAGACTATAGACTTATTAAACAAAGTCTATACTTCTTAATTTGTTGGACTTTTTATATTTGGGTGGTTTTTAATTAATCATAAATGTTGCATGTTCATGACAAGCTGTCTTGAGTTTGTTCATCTGACATTGTCATCACAAGTTTTTATATTTGTTCAGTTTGAAGCTAGGAACTACTACTCCAACCTGACAATAACAGTCCAACATATCCATCAATATATCCAACAGCCACTCAGAACATTTCATGAAGTATTGAATAATATCCAACATCCAGCTTGAAGCATTGTTTTCTGCGTTTCTTCAATGCAGAAATCCATCATTGTAGTGGAAATGCAGTGTAAGTATGCGGAAGACTGTGGCCGGGAGCCTTTATGAAAAAAGAAAAACTAGAGTCTAGCTTTTCTCAGCACAAAATGAATATGTTAATCTCCCCGAGGTGACAGAATTGTAAGGTGTCAGATGTGTGAGTTTTGCATCTTCTAAACATCAAGTTTTTCATATCATATTCCTACATCAAACAGCTTCATCATCTGTCCGTTACTTCATATTTTTCATATGTCTCCATCTTTAGCTGTGCTGTATTCTTTCATTCAGCTACTGACTAAAAAAAAAATTGCTAGCAGCATTTTACGTGGTCAGTGTTTAGCTTGTTAGCTTCAGCCGTTAGCTCCTGCTGTTAGATGCCTCGATTACAGAATTATGGCAATTAAAAAAATAGATTTTTATTTTGTTTACTTTTTAAAGAATTGAATACTGTTGTTTAGCAAAGATGCATTAAATTGATCAAAAGTGACAGTGAAGTCATTTACAATTCATCAGATGTCAGTGATACCTCCGCATCAGTTGCATCTTTCAGAGCTGGAGACAGAGCTAACATCAAAAGGCTTCGATCGAAGATGTTCAGCATCAAGACAAGATTGAGTGGCAAAGTCTGGGAGACAGACAGACAGCGGTGACAGGTGCACTGATAGAGAGAAACGCATGCAGTTTGGTTGTGGGCAGAGGAAAGGAGAGAGAAGGGCTGGCGTGACAGCGGGACTGACGTGAAGATAAAGTGTCTCCTGTTGACACAGATATAGACTGACTGTTACAAATACGCAAAGACAGACAGAAACAAAGGGAGTAAGGATGGAGTATGATAAATGGAGTATGACAGTAAAGTTAGTGCTTTGGGAAACCCAGCCAATGTTGAAAGAGATAAATATGGGAAGAGATTTTTGCTTATGCCTTGTTTTTGAGCGGAAGTTCCCTTTTCATGAATTTTACAAGATGTCAAAGTTTGTAATAAAAAGTCTGAGATTTCCATATAAACTCAAACATTACTCATCAGATTCTTCCAAGACCAAATTATCAGAGCAATTGTAATAACTGTGTAGCTCTATAACTGTCAACAACAGTCTTAAATATTTTTGGTGAAACAACTAAAGTTAATACAGTACTTAATAGTTAATAATAAGGTGTAGTTTACCCAAAAATGTATATTCTGTCATCAGTAAATTCTAAATTAAATGTAACATCTCAATGTAAAATATAGTTTTTTTTATTAAAAAGCATAATTTACAGTTGTAAAATATACAGGTATCCTGCAATAAATCATTGTCACCATATTTGTTTATTTACAGTGTATTTTTTTATTTATTGGCAACTAGCCGCCGGTTATCCACAGTAAATTTAACAGGATATTTTTACAATGAACAATGAAATTCAGCACTGACATTTTGTATCCAACATTATAGCCATTAAACATATTTATGCCTTTGATGCAACTTTGTCTATTTCCCATTGTATATTAAATGCAAAATCAATAGCAGTTCCACTATATGCACAGAAGCATCTGATCTAAAGATGTGTTTTGTCAAAACTGCTGTTTGATATGCCATGTTAATATGAAGTGTAATTCTGTTTGCTGTCATGGCTCAGGTCACATCCCCAATAATTCATTTTCTCATTATCTAACAGGTTTCGACTCTTCAGTACAAACAGGCATCGGTAAAGTGAAGTCATACGATCTCAGACAGAATACCCAGCAGCACTGGTGCTCTTCTAGGAAAGAAGAAATGGCTTGTCCATCAACCAACAGAACCGTTACAATGGCCATTGTACCTCAGTGCAGGTATAGATGCTGTTATCTGAAGCATCATCTATAGTGTGACACGTTTGTGTTTGTTTACAATACAGGATCCATTATAAGAAAGAGTACCTGAGCTGTTTAAAAAGGTGCGTGTGGTCTATATTTGGACTTTTATGGACATCTGAAATGGGGA